TCGTGCTTGTTGCCGTGCTGGAGGATGTGATGGACGTTGTGTTTGTGCTTGTTCTGCTTGTGCTTGATGGTGTGGAGGAATGTAGTGTTGTGGTGAGTTCATGCACGTCGAATTAAACTGCTCGGAAAGAGTCAAGGCGCCTGCTTGAGGAAAATTCGCAAAAACAATGCAAAACGGTGCAAACTCTGTAAAGCGAAAGGTCTCGTGTTTTGGCCCGGCGGCCGTGGAAGCAGTGAATTCAGTTGAAGTGGAGGTGAATTCCAGTGAAATCCAGTGAGCGGTGGTAAGCTCCGTTAGTGATTTCCCAATGAAACGGCGCCTCCTTGCGGAGGATCACACTCAGCACCCGAGTGGGACGGCTGAGCGAGACACACTCTGACATTGGTTTTCAGTTAACTCAGTTCCCAGGTCAAAAATGGCGAAGGAACGGCAGGGGAGCCAACTTGGAATTCCAAAGATGGGACAAAAATCATCGGACGTACGGCCGAGGCCACCTGCTGTCCGCTCCGGACACCTACCTCTCCAAAGCAAGGGAGAGAAAGACATACACCCGTTCGACGGGTCCACGGGAGGCACTCTGCGGGCTCATCCCGGGTTGGCACGAAGCCAAACACACTTGAGATATTGTGTACTGAACTGAATGCGGTGCCACACGCCGGCCTAAGAGACCCAAATCCTGAAAAACCAGGTGAAGGGGACCAGAGTTCCTGTAGTTTAAGGCCACGACCGACGAGACGACAAGCTGACGGCGTTCCGTGCAAGTCTGCAGCAACAAGAAATTCAGGTCAGGGAGGTTCTTGGCTTAGCCTCTCGCCATTCGAAGAAATGGAAAATTGCAGGTACGTCGGAGTGGCCAACTCCGATATCACCAGATCAAATGGGCGTCTTCGTTGGTAGCGGTCCCAAATGATCTGCCGCTACCCCCTGCGATAAACCAAATTAAAATCCAAAAGGATCCCTATGACTCCAAGGGTTACACACACACACACCCGCATCCAGGCTGGTGCCAAGCCGCATGAGTCCAAAGGCGCCCGGCATCAAGGCGGCACCTAACATGTTGAAGACCTCATCTCCGAGGTGTGCTGCATGGCGGAGCGCTGTGCTGCGAAAGGCGTCACGGTTCCGCGTCCCAGTGCCCAATGAAGTGCCCCAGTTGTGTTCAAAAAATACAACCACCGCCAGATACGTAAATACAATTGAAACAACGATTGTTGAGGATCCTGGCGTCCTGCAGACCAAACATGAAGAAGAATGCGAAAAGGGCTTAAGACTTGCTGGATCCCAACTATTCTATGTGAACTAAAAAACATTTCAGAGAACCAACTACAGTAAACCAGAACTGTGTTTTTTCCGCTGTCTCCAATCTCACATTTACGGCACTTGCCTGGCCGCTGCCGGGACTCCGCACCCAAAAGGCAGCGACGGCCAACCAGAAGTTGGGACAGAAGCAGGCCACGAGTCCGAACAGCATCGCCAAACCCGCACCTTAGTAGCAAGAAGCTACTAAAGTAACAAGGGCATCGCTACTAGTAACAAGGGTATTACCATTAGTAGCAAGAAGCTACTAGTAGCATATATCCGCATCCCATGGGCCCTTCGGGTTTCTTTCGTGTTCGGTGGGCCATGGTGTTCGACTAAAGGTCGGACACACCAAGCCCGACGAACTGAGGTGGCTGCGTGAGACAGGAGGTGGTTTGGGAGGTCTCGGTGTCGGTCTCGGTGTGGCGGAGTGTGTGTGTGTGGCTCTGAAAGTGAATGATACACGACATGTGCTTGAGACAGAAACCCACTGCGAGCGGAAAGCGTGTCTGCGCATGTGGTTGCGCCGCTTGCGCCACCTGCGCCGCCTGCGCCGTTTGCGCCACCTGCGCCGCTTGCGCCGATTGCATCTTCTGCGCCGCCTGCGCCGTCTGCACCGCCTGCGCCGTCTGCGCCGTCTGCGCCGTCTGCGCCACCTGCGCCGCTTGCGCCGCTTGCGCCGTTTGCGCCGCCTGCGCCGCCTGCGCCGCCTGCGCCGTTTGCGCCGCTTGCGCCGCCCGCGCCACTTACGCCACCTGCGCTTTCTGCGCCGCTTGCGGTGCCTCTGACAGCCTTTCACACGTGACGCTCGGCGTGCCCTCGAGCGCCAGAGGACCAGCGCTGCGGGCGTGCACTCGATCGTTGGACAGAACAACAACCCCCTCAAGGTTGACGCGTTGAAAAACGCAAGAAGCTGGGGCGGAGGGATTGGGTCGCTGAGTTAGAGTACGAAGATGACACATATACAATTGACAGCTGCAAGCAGCAGCCCAAGCTACTTCAACCTTTTCTACCGGCGCGCTGGTCTACCGGTGAGAACGGTGTAAGCCTTGCGCTTAAGCAGTCAATCCCACGTACCGACCAAGACCTTTCAGGTCACAGCGTTAGTAAATTCTAGTTCCTGATTCGAATGAAAATGTCCGTTGGGAGCGCGAAAAGTCGAAAAGTCGAAAGCTCCAAAAATTGATTTTGGCTTTCGGACACGTTCGAAAAGGAAAAGAAACAAAAAATCCGAAAAGTTGAAAAGTTCATTTTGTGTCTCGGGCCCAAGTCAAAAAATCCGAAAAGTCGAAAAGTCAAAAACGAACGAATCCAGTGTCCTTTCCAATATTAGTCACTAAGTCACACTGAGTCATTGCCATGTATGCTCCCCACTGAGTCACACCTCTTCAGGAACTGCGTCCCCTTGACCCATCTCTTACACAATTGCTCAATCTATAAAAACAAACGGAACCTACAGTACTAGCAATGGCGACGCATTCCATGGATGCTTCTTTCTCCTGTAGCTTCTGCCCGTTTCTTGACGTTCTAATTAAAGGCACCGAGGCAGTGTACGATGCCGAAAACCTGAAACATCAATCCAAAACCTCGCTCTCCCAAATATTGATCCATAGCATCGCTTCAGCACACGAGTCACGGGGCGACAAAGAACCTTCCATGGACCCTTCTACTTTAGAAACATGGAAATATTTCAAAAATTGCAAGGTTGGGAGTTCGGACCGCCAGTCTCAGGCATCAGAAAGAATTAGACGTTAAGGTGGTCTGGCGCTTCCGGCCTGGGAGTTTCGAATGACACTCTTGAGTGCGGTTATCCTCCTTGGAAGTGGCTGCGGTTTCCTGAAGAAGTGCAACGACGTTGCACGATGGAGCGGATGGAGCGCATGGAGCAGATGGTGCGGATGGAGCGGATGGAGCGGATGGAGCGGATGGAGCGGATCGTGCAGATGGAGCGGATGGTGCGGATGGAGCGGATGGTGCAGATGGAGCGGATGGAGCGGATGGTGCGGATGGAGCGGATGGTGCGGATGGAGCGGTTGGAGCGGATGGAGCGGTTGGAGCGGAAGACGCTGATCCCTCTCGCAATGCAGACACCCAGCTACTGACCTCCACCACCTAGGAAGCAGAGACCCCTTTTTTCGATGGCTATGGGGTCTCTTACCCTCAGGATCCATTAGGTATTTCGAGACCCACAAGGGTTTTTCGAGAATGTCACGGTACTTCCTCGTGTTCGAGACAAGGTCCTCCCAGCTCTTCAGCTTTGCTTAACGCTTCCTTGTCCGAGCACCGCCGGCCAAGAGCTTTGCGGTGGAGCGCGCAGCTTTCTTGTAGCCTCGGTGACTAGCAGACTAGCAGCAATCTACGTGGCTTTTCGGCTACGGTTGGTGGGTGGGTTGGGTTGGGTTGGGTTGGTTGGTACGATGAGTAGGAGGATCAGCATTTAGCTTGCATTGGTGGGAATGACCTGGATAAGCGAGTGATGATAGCCTTGGGTTCTGTCTCGTTTGGGGGCCCTCTGGTCCTGATCGATACCCTCCATTTTCAGCATCTGACACCAAGAACAGTCATGCAAATCCGGGGGGTTAGCCAGTAAAAAGTTCTGCTCCATTGACTTGGGCATGGAGCAAGTACATATATATATATATTATATTTATACATATTATAATGTGCTTTTAAATTGACAAACAACATTTGAACAATCAAAGTGGAATCGTGGCTCTGGCAAATGCCTTCAAAGTTCTAGGAAGTAAAGGCATCCTGAATAACTAAGGCATCTTCAGAGCCTTTCCAGGTCACACAGTCAAGCAACGAGAAGGACATGTCTGCAAAACAAGAATGGAATTGGGGCCACTGAAACATGATGCGTTTCTCAAAAACCTTAAGCAGCAGACCTCTCTCGCACAAAGTGCCCCCATGTGCTCCCCGTGATCGCCCAGGCGCCGCCCACACGGTCCACAAGTTGGCTACCCACGAAGACTCCGAAGGTGGGTGCCGTCAAGGTCGTGGCACCCACGAGAGTGACCACCAGTGAGTGCACCTCGTCGCTCGAAAAACCGTTGGGTCGAGACCGGCCGGTATGGAGTCGGCACAGTTGGACCGCACCGGCAAAGGAGGAGGTGAAAGTAGTCAAAGCATTGAGCAGCCGGGAGAGCCTGGAGTATTGTAGATACATCGATCAAAGCATATCCTGGAGGGGCCAGAGTAGCAAGTGGCCGGCACTCCCCGCACACCTTGGATAGCAGTCCCTGCTTGGGGATCATGACTTCCTTGGCCCAACGCCCGCTGCAGCATACCGAGCGGCCCCGTTGGCTTCCTCCACCGAGCAGGTCATTGCCTCCCTCAACCGAAGCCTGGTCGCAAGCCAAACGACCCTCACGCAATTTCGGTCCTGGGTCCATATGCGTCAGCCAGTTTGAGACCAGCTTAAGACCGCCTCTTTGGGGCTTGGAAGCCACCCGTGCTAGGCTGGGAGTGACTCCAAACGGCTTTCCTAAACGAAATCTCTTTGGAGCTTCAAAACCAGAACTATTGCTTGACTTGGGGATATGCATACACTTCGAGGCGAGTTGGCTTTGACCCACAGTGAAATCTATGTTTCTATGTTCTCTTTGAACTGCCTGGGTGTATCATGAATAACCGAGTGCATCTCACAGTCACACGTGTTCCTCACCAATCACCAAAAAAGTCGAGTGACGCCATCAGAGTCCTGTCAACAAAACGCATGCGAGTCAAGAAAACGAGGCGAACGAACAAATAAGGACTCCTGAATCTCAGCCTTTGTGCCAGTTCCTAATTCCAATGCAGCGAAAACAGAAGCGAGCCACTCAAATATATCAAAAGATATCAAAAGCCACAGCGGGGACCTTGGAAAGGGAAGGTTTAAGAAGAATTAAGAAGATATATAGAGTCCTCCACATCTGTTTCGATCGTTTTGCATTAAACAGTATCGGGTAAACCTATCTGTCAAAGCGAGTGTCCAAAAGACTTCAGGTGTGGCAAATGTAAGTGTTGTGAGTGTCATGCTGAGCCAAGCAACTGCTCCATGTACGGCATGGCCCAGAACTGTAGCCCTCCAGACACGAAGAACAAGGATGAGACGCCTGGGCCCGATGCGGTTTGTGATTTGGCGGTTGAAAAACGGCCATCGTATTATACTCGTCTACTAGTATCACACAGTCATATCAGGCACCCGTCGCACCAGGGAATTTGGGGCTCCTTAGAATGGTGAACCCCTCACTAGTGCAGGAAAGGAAAAGAATCTGGTTCACTCCTGTCCTTTGCCCAATGAAACGTGCACCAATCCGCATGTTGGCCATCCACGTCATGTCTGATGAGACCAACGGCCCACTGCCGTGCTGAACCCTGGTGGCGGCGCAGCGGATCCAATACGCCGCTGGTTATCTTCTTATGCTCACCGATCTTCAAATCCATCAAAACATCACATCGCCCTACACATCACCCAACAAAACTGAAACTGCTAAAAACTGCTAAAGCACATCTGTCATCTTCCGAAGCAAGTATCCGGCTTCATCATGTGTCCAAACCCTGCGTCTTCCCGTTGACGTATCCACAAAACTGCTGAACATCCCAGGCACAGAGCGCCATAGAGGCAAACCTCAAGAGGGCGGCTGGGTGGAGACTATGACAGGACGCGTGCTCTTGCCGCGGTCATGGCCGGTCGTGGTTTTGGAGTCTGAAGACCAGGGTCCACCAACACAGGTTTGGTGGACCTCGTCTACCGTCTTGACCCAGGTGTGCTTTTCTTTGGATCCAAAACCAAGAACCCATGGCCCAAGCAGATCTCCCCAAAATTATCGTTGAAGTTCAAATACCATGTGGCACCAAGAGAGGTACTTTCAAAATCGCACTTCTGGAGTGGGTCAAGAGTCAAGGCTGACCTTCTCGAGAAAGACAACTCCTCCACCCCTCGAGTGATGGGCTATATGTTTGGATTAAGCAAACATAAAGGTGGGCCGATCTGCTTCGTGGTTGAAGAGTGCAGTTCCTGCGTGAAGGTTCACTTTCTGTGATACAAGCTGCTACAGAGCCTGAAGAGTACCCTGAAATATTGTTTGAATTTTCATTAATAATTAGTTGGATGGTGTGTTCCATAAAGTCGGAGGCAGCCTCCGAGTTGATTAGAGTTCTAGACTCTAGGTGATGCATCTGGCTGTGAATGAGTGAGTTCGTGTTGGTGATGGCTGCTCAAAAAGCGGATCTTGTTATTGAAAAAACATGACACGGGAAAACGTGGGCATCGTAAGGCGTGGATTTGGCTGCAATTGGGTTGCCGGTGTTTTGGGGTGTCAAAAGGTATCCAGTCCATCCATCCATTGTCCAGCCCACCTCAGAGTGCTTGCTTTGACAGCAAAACATGCTGGACGTACTATGTATCTGAACTTTGATGTTGTTGCTGAAAAGCTACCAAATCTCATGAGTTCTGCCCAAGTGCTAAAAAATACTCTAATTCGAGTGATCCCCGCCATGACATTTCAATTGCTTGTCTTCATGCCATGGTGATGCTGCCCTGGTCGTGAGGTATGTCTGTGCTTGTGGGTCCTCCGGCTGTGTGCTGTGGTTGTGTCTTTGTGGTTGTGGCCGTGTGCTGTGGCTGTGTGTTTGTGGTTATGTGCTTGTGGATGCGTTTGTGGCTGTGTGTTTGTGATGGAACTCGCGGTTGAGGTCCGGCGGGGAACACTGCCATCCTGCACTTGCGGTTGAGGTCCGGCGGGGAGCGCTGCCATCTTGCACTTGCGGTTAGGTCCGGCCGGGGCGCTGCCATCCTGCACTTGCGGTTGAGGTCCGGCGGGGAACACTGCCAT